GGGCGCACCCCTCCTGCCCCGCGGGCACACTGCATCCGGGCCGGCACTAAGGCACTAAGTGGTAAACCTGATGAAAGAGAGCAATGGAGCGTGTGCGGCGTGGAAGCGAGTGCGGTATCGGGGGTGTTCCAGCAGCCAGGACTGCTTCGGAGGAACACTTCCCGGCAGTGTGGCTTCTTAAATTTATACCTGATTGATTTTAATTTCTGTAGTGTTCAGTGAAGAACTGCAGAACAGCCTTCCACGTCACCTGTGCGTTTGACCGTGGCTTGGAGATGAAGACCATACTGGCGGAGAACGATGAGGTGAAATTTAAGTCATACTGTCCTAAGCACAGCTCCACCAAGAAGGCGGATGATGAGACTTTCAGTGAGAGCCCCGGCCAGGTGAACGGAAATGGGACTCAGGACCACTCTCTTCCTCCCCACGTTGACTCTTTCCACAGCATGGATCAAAACCAGGAGGAGGCCCACAGGGTCAGCCTCCGCAAGCAGAAGCTCCAGCAGCTGGAGGATGAGTTCTATACATTTGTGGAGTCTTTGGAAGTGGCTAAAGCGCTGCAGCTGCCTGAGGAGCCGGTGGAATTCCTTTACCAGTACTGGAAGCTGAAGAGAAAAGCCAACTTCAATAAGCCTTTGATTACCCCAAAGAAGGACGAAGAGGACAATCTGGCTAAACGGGAGCAGGATGTTCTGTTCAGGAGGTTGCAGCTCTTCACACACCTCCGGCAGGATCTCGAGCGGGTAAGGCCAGCGCTGCACGGCCCGTGCCTGGGCACCGCTGCTGGGCTGCGTTAGCCGTGCTCCCAAAGTGTGCTCCCAGCTGCCCCTTGCTGCAGGCACTCTGGGCTGCACCTGCACTCCAAGTTGTAGGGCCAGAAAAGACCATGAATGCTAAACATCTACAGAATGCACCAGTTACCCCTTTCAAATAGAGGGCTAGTTCACAGGACCAGCAGCTCCTGGCTTGTGGTACCGAGTCTCCTTGTCAGTGGGTTGTTGGATTTCCAGTTAGTGCTTTTTTACTGCTTAACACTGATTGTGGACTGTACTGCAACCCCTGGCAGGAGCTGGTTTAGCCTTTTAAGGGCTTTCTCTGTTCTTTTCATTTGATGCACAAGAAAAACATTATGAGACTGACCTTGATTTGCAGCAGATCTGTTTTTCATTGCTGCAGCATAGTAGGATGGCATTTCACTGGATTATCTGTGTAGTAGGTTTGGGAGGCACCTGATACTCCACTCAATTAGATTTTGCACACATACAGAACTGTTCAGTAGCATCAGTTTGGTGGCTTATCATAAGTATATCTGAACCTTTAACAACCAAAATTCATTCCTTTTTGCCTTTTTTTTTTTTGTTAATCAGTAGTGTTTAAGATCTGTTAGATCCAATACTGGAATCAGTTTAGTTTTTCACATCCATACAGCACAGGACTCATGTAGCCCACGTACTGAGCTGGGCTCAGGAGATCCTACCTAGGCCTCACTAACATGGGGGTGCACTGGAGCTTTTCTTCCAGAATGGTGTCTGGTCTTGAACTCAGGCCAGCAGGGGCTCATGCAGCTACTGCATCCTTTGTAAAGGATCCTGGTGGCTAATTGCTCTCCTGATGGCTAATTGCTCTCCTAATGAAACCTTGCAGTTTTAAAGGTTTTTTCCTAGTTTGAACTTCCAGCCCGTAGCCCTCCCATAGCTTTGTGCAATAGATGTTGCCTAGCACCGTTTGTTTCTGCCCAGTGTGCTCAGAAGTTACACTGCAGTGGCAGCAGCACCAGAGGCTGGTGCTGTTGAGTAGCTCTCCACATTTTCCTGTTAATAATAAAGTATAATTTAATGTAGTGTCTCAAACTGTAAGAAGCAAATGATGCTAAACTGTTTGAGTATATTTAAGCATTTCTCTAGATTTCCTCTGTGTGTGTGTATGTATATATCTATCTATCTCAAGTGTTTATAGAAGTTACTTCTGTGCTGTGGCCCTCCCAAATCTGATGTAATAATTTGTCAACTAATTGAAGACTTTTCTAAGAAGCTTCTTGAAGAAGTTTAATTTTAAATGCATTACAAACTTGTTTAAGTGGTGTATAGTAAAACTGAATTACTTCAAAGCACAGATTGACAACAGTATGGAAACACAATTCCTGTAAAACTGCTCAACTTGATGTCTCCTAGGTGCGTAATCTCACTTACATGGTGACCCGAAGGGAAAAAATCAAGAGATCTGTTTGCAAAGTTCAAGAACAGATATTTAATATCTACGCAAAGCAATTGGAACAAGAAAGAGCTACAGGTATGTCTCAGTGTTACCTTTTTCACTTAACACCCCAGGCAAGAATATTGGAAGGTTTGGTTACAGGCTGATGACTGATTTTGAAGGATAAAGAGGACCTCATTTATTCTCATTAAAACCTTGTGGAGTCCACCATGCATCAGCAGATCGGGAGGAAAAAAGTGAGGCTGTGTAGTTCTAAGGGCAGGCACATTGCTATAGAAACTGATAAGTCTGTGTTCCTGTCCATGAGGCAGTGAGTGACTTGCTGCTTCAGACCCTTTCTGGTGTGATTCTTTAATCACCTTATGACAGGGAGACCACAAGTGACATTCAGGTGCAATATGGTACCCAGTAAGTCTGTGGTTTATTAGTGCGTCTGCCTTAGTGTTCAGTGCGTGCAGCTCTGCACAGGAGATGGCCCTTTAAAGAACTGCATTTTGAAAAGGTAGCACTCTGCTTGTAAGACCCCTTTTTTTTCTGCCTAATCTCATTGACAGGAGTCTTTTCTCAGAATGATGAGTAACTTCATAGTTACTGCATTAACTAGATGATCTTGGAAATATTCAGTAAGTAGTAAACTATATTTCAGACAGCACCAACCAGATCCAGTTGCTGGTTGCTTCTTTTCCACCCCTTCCCTGAGGAGTCTCTCAGTGGGTGTAGCAGTGCTGGGACTGATGTTGGCTGCAGGTGTAATGAGGTGCAGCACAGCTGCAGGAGGGTGAACTACATCCAGCTGTGTGTTGTGAAACCCCCAACACAGGCCCAGAACCATGGTGTAAAGGTGCTGGGTAGGAACCACATACCCATTTATGCTGAAGAATGTCAGGTATGAGGAACAGAGATAAAGTAAGTACATTCAAAAGTGGCATTTGCCCAGACATGGAATTGCTTGACTTTCTTAATTTGTTTGCATTTAGGTGTGCCTTCTTCATTCTCCTCAATGGAAAACACGGTGTTGTTCAACAGTCCATCTTTGGGCCCCGATGCCCCTAAGATAGAGGATTTGAAATGGCACTCTGTGTTCTTCAGGAAGCAGATGGGGACGTCTCTAGCCCACTCTCTGAAAAAGCCACACAAGAGAGAGCGAGCGAGAAGCGGCGCGGGGAAGGAGGGCAAGCCCACGCTGCGGCCGCCCGGCCAGAGGGAGGGCGGTGCCGCCCCCGGCGGCCTTCTCAGTTTTGACAAGACCTTTGAGGACACACAGGTTGTATCAGCACAGCAGAAAAATGGCATAGTGATGCCAGACCACAGAAAAAGAAGAGACAATCGTCCACAGTGTGAGGTGATGAAGGCAGAACTGAAGGAAAAGACTTCTAAACACAACCACAAACCGTTGAGACCCACGGAACTTTCTCAGAGGCAATCGGAAAATAAAAGGGCTGTGAACCACTCCAGCGGTAGGTCAGCACCTGGCACGCGGAGGGATATAGTGCCTAAATGCAATGGGGGTCTTGTCAAAGTAAACTCTAATCAGACAGTAGTTAAAGTGCCTACGACGCCCACGAGCCCCGTGAAAAACTGGGGCGGATTCCGAATTCCAAAGAAGGGGGAAAGGCAACAGCAGGGTGAGAGCCCGGAGGAGACCTGCCGTCAGAACTCCAGCTACTCCTACCTGGGCGTGGGCAGAGTTTCACCGAAGGACAGGACAAAAAGCAAGCTAAAGCCTGACAGTGAGAATGATGGGTACATCCCCGACGCCGAAATGAGCGACTCGGAGACTGAAGTGGCTGAAAAGAAGTGCAGGCAGCAGAGGCTCAGTCCAAACCGCGCTATCGGCAGGAGGACGGACATTATTAGGAGAAGCATCCTGGCATCTTGACTAGACACAGGGACGTAGTGTCAGCACTGTGGTCTCTAGAGTCACTGCCTACAAGCCAACTCCACATTATTTATTGGTGTGAGAGAGGAGAGTTCTTAGACATGGCTACAGACTGACAAATTGGTAACCCATTATTCCTGAGCTGTATAAACATGTTTACATGCACTAAAAGCTCTTTTTTTTTTTTTTTATCTTGTGCCCTTCCCCAGTTCTGTGAGAAGTTTGAATCTCCTTTATTTGCAGCTATCCTGAGTAAGCAGAGAAATGACATCACTACTAAAAATGAATCTGTGATGAACACTAAAATAACTCAAAAAAAAAACTTTTAGAAGATTCGTCCCTTTTAGCTAAAAAGCACTGGTAAAATTTTACTCCCTTCCCCTGCCTTCTGGAAAAAGCACAAACTCTTAATTTAACTAGTGTGTGTTGAATCCAAGATGGTTGTTTAACCATGCTGCACTGCTAAACCCCATTGCAAATGGTCACTGTCCTTGGATGGTGGTAGGTCTTTCTCCTCTCTTTGCAGAATGTTTTCTCTTGCATTCAGTTTGAGTACAGATGGCAGCTCAAAACCCTTTGTAAGCTCCAGAGTTTACAAGTAAATACATCTATGAGATGAGCAGATGTAACCACGACATTATACTGGAGAAGGAGGAAGGGACAGGTCAGGGCTGGAGAACTTGAGAAGACACAGACGGAGCACAGAGGGGACTCTGGAATGGCTCGGGTCTGAGAAAAAGGGGTCAGGCTTAGGGGTTACAGCACCCCATGGAATAACCCGCCACCACTTAGTCAGTCACCTGCCACCAGGAGTACAATGGCAATTAAAGACAAAAATTTCTAAGGCACTAGTCAGTAGGAGTTCCCAAAACTCGCCACAAATGCACTAATGGTATGTATTGGGAAAGCCAGGCTTATGACACTAAAGGGTTGCTTTAAAATGGACAAGAATATATATATATTTTTGAAGAGAATAAAATGGAAAGGCAATAAATTGTGATTAGTTCTTTACAGTCAAATGAAGAAAAAATATTTCATTCTATTCTTGACTAGATTTGATGGAAGAGGGAACTCGTAATCTGTGTTCTTTTTTTTTAATAATTGCAAATGGCAATAACTAGTAAGCTATGAGCAATAATAGTAACGGATCATTAGGGTACCATTTTGTACCAAGTAGAGTGCACATATGGAGTGTTAGGAGCCTGTAAATTTTGGAGTTCTGCATAGATGTAAGTCAGGTATGTACTAGTGAAAAAGTCAGAGCAGCAATGTGTTACAGAAAAGACAGGCATAAAGAACCCTCTTCCCCTGTCCCCCCTGTATTCCTCCTAGCTTGTCCTTACCACATCCACTCACTTTTTGATGTTAGACCCTTGCCTTTTGAGCAGGGAGCACTAAAACACAGTAGAACTCTGCCATAAATGAGTCTTCCAAAGGAGTCAATCAAAAAAAAAAAAAAAAAGAATGAAAGGAAAAGGCTTATTAACACCCTGTCTTGCTATGCAAGTTATCACTTAAGTATTTCAACAGAGTGCATCCCTGTTGTTTGTTTTAAGGGTCAGAAGTCTTAACCTTTTGAGGAAGGGGAATTTTGGGTCAGATAGTGTACTTTTAAAATACCATTGCTGGCCCCAAGAAGTTAGACTAACTTCCTGACTTACAGAGGTGAAAGTCAAAGGGGACACTGGTGAATCTGAAGTTATGTAGTCACTAGGGAGTTTTTTAAACGAAAACTAATTATTCAATTAATGGCAGATAAAAGGTAAATGCAGGTAAGTTCTACTCAACAGCAATGTTTTCCAGACGGGCACTGTTATTTTTTTAAGAAAGAAGCTCTTGACCATATAGGGATTGTTTGTCAAGCCATAGATGGAATAATCTAAATTTCAATTCTAAGTAAACATTTAACCTCATGCCAGTTTGAAGGAGGTACCTTGTTAATTTGCACTATTTTCAATGCTAACGTTGTGCAGAATTAATGCCTTATCTGTTTGCTCCCCAGCGTTTAGGTTAATAAGCTTTCTAATGTTTCGAGTTAAGCTGAACCAAAACCAAAAAAAGCTGTAAGAAGACTGCGGTATGACCAGCTCTGTAGGTTAGTTCTGCCCCCCCTGCTTAGCTCTCAGCAGAAGAGGTGTTGTAAGTACAGCAGTGACAATACCAGCCCGCCCCTGTATTTTATTGGGATAGAACCATTTGCTGAATTTCTGTTTTTCGGCGTTACCTTTCCTTGTGCAGACTGACCAAGAGATCTTTGATTATGATTGGTGTGTTCTGTCAAACTGTAGGCTAGTTGAACTTCTGTAAAGTTGCCTGGAATGCCATTTGTTAGGTTATAAACTCACACAAATCTAAAATGAAGGGTTATACGTGTTGTGTATAAATCTTAATTTCAGAAATTTGAGAAAATTGTCATTACATTTGTAAAAACTTGTACAGAAGATTTTTCACTATGTGCCTAGCTTTGGTGTCCATTCAGCTGAAATAAATTAAAAAAGGTGCATGAAGAGAAACAGATAGAAATAAAAAGTATATGTAGAGATAACTATTTTATATTACATGGCCCAATCCTGTATTTATTTTCTCCCTTTTTTGAAGTATTTATAAAGACCTAGTTGAAGACAGCTGTATTTTTTGTTAAAATATTCAGTAGAATTGTGCCTTTTTGTCTGTATGTGAATAAATGCTGTACATTTTTGCAGTAGCCTTGCCAGCAGTGTTTTAGAATATGCAGTAACTTTAGGTTTTTACATAAACACTTCACTGCAACATCTGAACAACTTTCACAGTTAAAAGCAGCATTTAAATTGGATTGTTACAGGTATGAAAACACACACCGCAGTTGCAAGAGAAATGATTATTTTTTTTAGGAATAGCATACGGTGATGTTACTGGAGGCTGTGCCTGTCCCACCCACAGCAAATCGTAAGCTTTTTCCTTGAGACCCTCAAAGAGATGTTGCTTACCTCAGTTTACAGTTTAGAAAACCCATAATCATCATACACATTCCCTTGGAAGAAGGAACATGAGGTTTCTTACCTGCAGATCTTCCTGAGAAGTGCCCTGAATGTACATGGACACCATGAGCTGCCTAGAGTCCAGCAACACCGACAGAGAACCTGTGCTGCTAGAGCAGGATCTCCAGGAGACAAGGTGTGAAGGGCACAGTAGGTCCTTTCCTCTTGCTTCCTCTAATTTGAAGATGAGGAAATGTGGAATGGACATGGGGTAGAGCAAGAAAAGGACACAGCTGTGAAGGGCTGTGCCTAGCAGTGCATCCTGCAGAACAGCAAGAGGTCAATCACTTTTCTCAGCCCTGCACATGTATCGCATGCATTCGCTTTGTGGACAGCTGTGAGTGGCACCCCCGTTTGAAACAGCAAAGATTAAAGGATGGCCCTCCTAAAAGCTACTTGTACGAGTTGTTCAGGGTGTGAATCAAAGTCTGAAAGAGGTTCTTGCTGCTGCTTTGTCTAGCCTTGCTGACAGCAGCCTTTCTGAAAGGCACTGCACTGCTGGGCTTACCTGGACAGACTGGGTCAGAGCTGAGGACAGCTGGCTGACCACTCCCATACAGGATGAAAAAGTTTCTTGTGTGCACTTTGAAGATCTGGCGTATTCCAGAAGGTACAGGGCTCCTGGGAAGCCCCAAAACTTAAACTCTTAACTAGTCATAGTCATAGTCAGTTTCTCTCACCTGTTGAATGGAAGTAACTACTCACCTAGAAATGTTGCCTAAGTAAACAGTCAAGAACAGAGTTTTACTCAGTGGAAAGCATTAATACCATGCTAGGGAATCTTTAAAACGCTCAAAAACTGGTGTGGTGGTGAGAAGGGAACACAGGGAAACAAAAACTTGTCGATGGAAGAGTGACAAGAAATATATACATAGAAACAAACGTAGAACAACCAAGACAGGGTTTGAAAGCTTGCTGCTCAATTCCATGAAACAATCAAGCAGTGTGAGGGAAAAAAAACCCACTTATCTAAACCAGCAAGCCTCACATTTTAACTGCCTCAGCAAGTGCCTTGCCTCTCCAAGTCCAACTTGTGAGCAACGTGCCAGCAGCCTCCTCCAGACACCAAGTGGAAATGAAAGGAGGAGGTGGTGTTAGGATGAAAACCTTAACCTGACCACGGTCCCTTCTGTGGTTCAGACAGATTACTGTTAGCTTCTTGTGTCATCACTGCCATTCACATTCTGGCAAACAATCATTACACGAGACCTACACCGTAAGCTGAAATGAATATACTCATAATTAAAAGGGAACCAAGCAGGTACCCTTCTGTGTCTCAAGGAACAAATGCTGTTGCTCAAAAACTTAAAATTTTGTGCCATTTTCAGCCAGGTTTCACTTCACAGCTAGAGCCTCTCTTTAAGGCATGAATGGGATTAATAGCTCACACAAAATCTTCCAGGTGTTCTGTCACCCCCTCAGATGTGCATTATGCAAATGAATATAAGGTGCTTGGTACTTACTGCCTTCTGTATTGTGTGTGCAGTTGATTGATGAAAGTCTCACTGCAACAGACGTTTGGAGCTTCTGGACAATGTATCCATGTTGCTTTGAAACACCTTCAAAGTCTTTTAGCAAAATTTAAAGAGATTGCAATGGATACAGGCATATATCAAACTGAGAAAGCGTTAGTAAGGAAGCGTGTACAACTGCAGGAGACAGTCACTTCCTCTGCAGGAAGCAGAAGTTTTTCCTGAGGTAGCATCCATCTTGCAGGCTCTACCTGAACAGCCAGGTTTCAGGAGGTGGCACAAACTCTTACTTCCATGTGGTGATCAACCCAGGTCTGTCCTCTAAAATGCAAATGTGGTGAAGACCTACTGCGACAGACGTATGGGTTTGTAAGCCCAGACCAACAGTTCTCATCAAGCATCGGGTAAGCATTATCCATCAGCTGCATCAGAAGTTACAAACCAGAACCACACGCTTCACATTTCAGATGCAGGACAAGAGAGTATGTCACTTAAGTCCAAGATGGGAGCA